GCGAATGGTTATCTGTCTCTGTGTGTTGGCCCTGCGACAGACTGGCGACCTGTCCAGGGTGTACCCCGCCTCTCGCCCTATGACAGCTGGGATAGGCTCCAGCACGCACCACGACCCTGGAAAGGAGAAGTGGATGGATGGATGGTGCCCTGAGGTTAAAATAGGCTTCAGGAAATGTAGCGTGTACCTTGGCTGTTAGTGGTGTAAATTGACTCGTTCTTAGGTAGTGATTCTCTATTCAAAGCACTTCTACTTTTTCTATGCTTAAGTGCTTTCTGTCAAACATTCACTCCAAGGGATGCATCAGAGAGCAAGTTGGGTTAGTCCTGTCCAAAGCACGTAGACTGGAGCAGCCTTCACATGATTGTGTCCTGCTCTACCTCCTGAGCTACAGACATCCTAAATAATATATTGCATTTAAGTGAGACACTCAGTAAGGGCATTTGTTGGGGTTTAGCATTGCTTTGCTTGGTTTGGCCTGTGGTCTCCAAAGTCAGACGTTTACCTTGAGTATATTAGCTTCACCTTTTGAAAACACAACACTTGTTTTGTTTCAGCTTTAGCATGCTAGCAGGTTATTAGGCCTCTAAAGATGCAGATCCAGTTTTTTTATGTAACTCATGTTGTGTAAAGTCATGCTAAGTGTTGCTGTGTGTGCCCAAGGGCAGTTCCAGTCAAATCTATTCCATACTGTTGACAGGAAGTGAAAGCAGTAAGTGTTCATTCTCACAGCTCTAAAGCTCACCATGAGAACATTTGACTGAAAGTTTTTGATTCATTTTTTAACTGAAGCCTTTTGGTCATTAGAAAATGTGTGTGCTTTAGACCGGAGTGATAAGTGAGCCACTGTTCAACATTTACAATTTCAAAATAAAAGCAGAAATCTTTATTTTATGTATGTGTGTTTTATCCATGTAATAGATTGTTAGCCCATTCTGGTGTCATGAATACAAACTCTTAGGAAGCCCTTGTGAGTATTTCTTGAAGATTGGCACACATGTTTACTGGGACTGGTGGTCAGAGGTCAAGGTCACTGTGATCTGACAACACAGATTTTTGCAAGCACAAAAATTCATACACTAATTCTGTCAAATGTGTATCTTATGTTTAAAAGTAATAACTGAACTTTTCTGGCTGTTTGTCTGCATCATAATCCTATTTCACATTTGGTCTTATATTAAATTGTTGACCTTAATCTTTCTGCCACTTGGAGGTGACTGTTGTTGTCATTTGACACCATTTAAATAAAATAAAATTGAACCTCGTAAATTCATTTAGTCTTTACTTTTACAAAAGTCTGGACAAACATGGACACAAACTGCAGCCTTACTGGTTTCCAGTGGTGTGCAATAACCTGGCAGTTCTCCCGTTTCTACTGCTCTCTGCTTAGAAAACATTCAACTTTGAGCTATAACATTGCACATACCCATTAATTTATGTTAGATTACACGTAGTTTCATAGGTGTCGCGGTTGGTGGTTAACATGAAGAGGACCAGATGATGGAAAAAAACAACCACAACAGACTCGAGTCGTTTCCCAGAGCTCTGAATATATTTCTCTTACAGATACAAAGGTTCAAAACCATCTTAACATGAACACCCCAACTCTGCTCCCCACCACACACACACACACACACTCCAGCTACAAATAACATATACAGTGAAATGCTGCACTCATGTTAACACACCACACATACATCTGACTGAAGGAACAATGGGCTGGGAGGTCAGTTCCTTCATTAATATGCAAATTGTCATGACCATTGATCAACAACCACTGATCAATAACCATGAGTACCATCCACAGAGAGTTGGGGAATGGCTGCAATCACAGCATTGTAAGATGGTGACAGATGTACCCAATTAGGCCCCCTCCTCAATTCAGAGATGGTCTTTCCCTTATCATGGTGTAAATGGCCTTGTACTGATGTATAGCAACTTGAAATACTCCTAAAAATGGCACTACAGCATGTAAAAATATAAAGATAAGCTCTGGCTCTTGGTTCTATGATGGCGCTTAAAGGGTTAACTCATTGGTGTGTGTTATCTGGCTTCATGGACAGATAGAGCTGGGTGTCATCTGCATAGCAGTGTAAATGTATGCTATGTCTTCTAATGATGCTGCCTAAGGGAAGCATGTATAATGTAAACAGAATTGGTCCTAGCACTAAACCCTGTGGAACTCCATAATT